AATAATTCCTTTGAAGACCAACAGTTGTTGTATGGGACTGTAAGAGGATTCCTGACAATTCAATAAAGTAATTGAATGTCATTAGATAAGAGAACACGAGAAAAATAGAAATAGTCCGTACATTCCCGTGTTTATATTCCTTATATACCTTATAAAAACACGGTAATGCACGGACTTTTTCTGTTTTTCTTTCGTGTTCTCTTATCTAGTTGCAGTCAATTCTTTTTATGAATTGGCAGATATCCTTTCACAGTCTCACACAACAAGTGTTGGTCTTCAAAGGAATTATTAGTGAGCAGAAATTCAGCCGTATATCTGTTATCACTCGTCGCTTCAGTCAGTTATATTAAGCGGTGACTCGTGTTTTCTTTTGGCGTTCGTCACTTCCGATACGAGAAACCTGTATTACTCAGCTATCGTAGCAATGATCTCTGTGTTAAAAGTATATTTGGAATGTGTTTAACCAGCTCTAACACATATGTGATAATGACTGGCACCAATATTGTCCTTTAAACCCCATTTTATTTCATTTCATTTCATTACATGTACAGACTTATAATAACATCTTTAATCTTTAAGTCAACCTCACTTTCCAAACAAAATCGAAAATTTCACAGCGATGACACGAATATTTACTATGACAAATATAAAAAAAGTAATCCGAACAAAAACATACGATTTCACACAAGCTTTGCACTGTTCGCAGTGTGAAACCCTAAAGAGTCCAGACTTATAGAAGTCGTTCCGCAACCAATGATTTTTCATGATGAACACGTATGAGTTGACATTTAGGTGGCAACGCTTTAATATATATAGGGTAACGAAGGGTGGGGGATGCCTGAATGGTTAGCGGCGCGTGCGCGCTGTATCATAAGGTCTGTCATTGAGTCAGCTGGCGTGATTTTGGTTCCCCGGTTGTACGCCTGTCCAACTGCGTGTTGCTGTGTTGCAAAAATGGAAAATATGACATTCTTAGAACCAACCTTTTAGTTCTGGAATTTGTGTTTTGCTTGAAATTGTGTGTGTACGGTCATGTACTGTTCGGCCATAAACGGATATATGCAAGATTCTTCAAATTATGTAAATAGCTTTTTTGGTTACAAACAAGACTTTTTTTTATCTCTCTGAAACACTTTCTGGGTAGAAAACATGATTATATCACAGTTTAGATGCTATGTCTGTATAGCATTTGTAAGAGCACATAACCTGTTGGAAAAATGAATGAATATTTCATGTAAAGTCGAGGATCAACGATTTTGTCTAAAGGTTTCCGTAAAATTTTAAATATATATTTTTCAGAAATGACAATACAGGAAAAAATGTTTTGGTGAGAGAGAGAGAAATAAGGTTTAACGTCCACTCGACACAAACTAGGTCATTTCGGGACTAAAAAAATGTTTTGGTACACTATAAATTCATTTTTTAAAAAAAAATTAAAATTGGAAGTCATGTTACTGGTTCGCTTGTCTCTACACGGATTTGGCATTCTATTTACGCTTCGTCGTTTGGCAGAAAATCTGATCAAAGGCGCTGTTTGTTAGTGTTCCAAAGGGGTTATTTCTTATTGCATATTCGAAATCTATGGACACCTTGTTGAAAATCGTTGGTCTGCCCCCTTAATAGAGCTCCAACCAGTCCATTCATAGCCTAGAGTCGCAGTGTCTCGGTGAGTAACACGTTGACCCGCTAACCTGGATGTCCCGCGTTCGACCCCGGTGTTGGCCGAGAGAGTTCATCAGAATTTTATGGCGTGGGTCCCCCCTTGTCAGTGAAGCAGGACAGAGGGCCTGACAAGGGACAATGAAAATTTTGGTTCAGATGGGACAAAAAAGAAATCGAGATCCTGGGTACACATTGGCGTGCACGTAAAATATCCCTTGGCAGTTGGAATTTTATATAAGAGTATCCCGTAGCGTCGCTATCCAGACAAAATTTCCCTCAAAGCACACTATGGAAATTGCGCGTTTTCATTAGCCCTGTCGGTGCAGAACAGTAGGACGTTAAACACCATTTCATTTCAATACATTAATTTTTGCAACCTAATTCCTGTTACACACGGCAATATGTAGGCTATTTGCAACTGATATAAACCGGTCTGAGGTAAATACTGGTTGATACTGGTATAAAGTGGATTCTATTATGCTCGTGACTGCTAGTACGAGCTGTTGTATTATTAGATAAAGTGTTTTTTGCCTACTTGACTGAGATACTGAAAAGTCTCATTTTTTTATCTGCAGTAGGTTAAAGTAGGTAAGTCTCTAACTCAATATCATCCAAAATCTTCGACATTGAAAACACGATTTATTTGTCGGTTTAAATCAACATTGATGTTGTGATCTTACCAGAAAAAGATGGCCTTCTGATATCCAATATTTCAGACAAAATAAACATTTTACAATTGGTAAACGAATCGTGTACCATAATGCGTTTCAGCGCTATTTGTAATATGGGACTAGAAATACGAGGCTATGGTTATTCTACAATTCATGTCAAACGGTGACGCTATATTCTTATCTGGAGAGCAAGCCCAATAAATAATATCGGCGTAGACTGGAATAACCAGACGCTAGAAATTGAAATTCGATTGAGAATACTGGCGTATTTCGCCAAACCTAACTGATTAGAAATTACAGTAAAAACAGAAACGATTGAATGTAAATCAATTAAATACATTCATATTTCATTATTGTATGCGCTGCGACCCATCTGTGTCAATTTCTAGGTCCCAAATATTAGCGACTTAGCTCCTTTAAATACATATACAGATAAAACTTGACTAGCACTCTCTGTTCATTTTCAATATCGACATCTCACTTACCAAGCTAGTGCTAAATGGTAAGGCAAGCTCACTTTTTCGTCATAGGTCACAAGATGTAAACAGGACTAGCGCTAATCCCAACCCTAACCCTAACCCTGGACCAAGTCCCAATGCTTACCCTAACCCTAACCTACAATCTCGCCAACAATCACGTGGCCTAACATTATTTACATCTCAGCGACCTTGATAAAGAAATGAACTGGCCTTAACAAATAGATTTAGCCTCAATTACCAAGAGAATATTGAAGTACAGTTCTTTTATATTGTCAATTTAAGCTTACGTTCCTGAATTCAACATTGAATGTAATTCGTTTAGTTAAAGATGCATTATTCAAGAGCTAAATCTGCCTATTGCAGGTTTTTCTTTAGGCCTGAAATGTTATCTAAATTATCAGTTAGACTTTTATTAACTTGCCAATGCCATAATAAACCCTCGTTGTCATCTTGTGCTCCAGATTGTCAACGGATTTAAACACGATAGTCGGTTAATAAATTAATTACAAAATGGATAATCAAGACTTTGTTTATTATTGTAACAACAGTAGCAGCTCCAAACCGCTCTAACGTCGCTGAGAATGAAATAATTTGACAGATATTTTCAAGATACCCCATTTTCATTATCTAGTTTATAACTATTATAGCGAGTTTATAACTATTATAGTGAGTTTATAACTATTATAGAGAGTTTACAACTATTATAGCGAGTTTATAACTATTATAGCGAGTTTATAACTATTATAGCGAGTTTATAACTATTATAGCGAGTTTATGAGTTTATAACTATTATAGCGAGTTTATAACTATTATAGCGAGAGCTGTCAGCTCTTTATCTAATCTAACAACAATCTAGGAAACCTGTCCTCGGATTTATAATTTGTAATTTAAAATCCAATTCGAAACGTTCGCCTATCTTCCAGGTAACCAGGGAGTAAAGACCGATTTTATTTTGGTCTTCGTGGCGTTTGTTAAAATATTTACCATCAAAATGGAAAACCAGGGAGTAAAGACGGGGTTTTATTTTGGTCTTCGTGGCGTTTGTTAAAATATTTACCATCAAAATGGAAAATACGTGTACTACTAGATTTTACCAACAGTCCTGGTATTTCGGTTTAACCAGTGATGAATGGTTATGCCAAGTTCAGTTTCGATTTTACAATAGAAACGCCAAAATATCAGTAAATAACTGTTTGGTTTAGGTGTACGTTAAAGAGACATTATGGAAGATTAGATAAAGAGCTGACAGTTCTCACTATAATAGTTAAATAATAGATAACGTTACGTAACGGGAATATATTGAAAATTTCCGTCAAATTACTTCACTCTAAGCCGAGAAATAGACATTTTAATAACATTGTAGCCTCGATTATCATTGTTATCGTTGTTACAGTAATATTCAAAGTTTCAGTTGTTCATTTTTACGGTTAATCATTACGGCCGTTGAAAGGCAGGTCGAATTTAAATCTAATGAAAATCGGACCCTTCTCTTAAATAAGTGGAAAATTCCCACAGTATTTTAGCAGATTGTTCTGAGAACTTTGACTCTTTGTTGGTAAAAAGAATAAAAGCCAAAGAAGGAATTTCTACTGAAAAGGTTTATCGTATTCCCGAAACAATGGCCCGAGAAATAACTTTCTGGCCATTGCTGGATTGACTTCTGATACTTGAGCCTTTCGGGGAATGTGTCTATTCTTCCCGTTCAATAAAATCTATCCCAAGTACAGCAACATGACTGCCCTTCGTTTAATCTGGGTCTTCCCTCAAACTCTGGACAGTGATTTAAGGTATTAAAAATGGTGAAAGTCTTGTCCGTCTCTAAACAGCATTGTTTACGGCGTATCCGTTTTTCTGCAATATTCTGCTATGCACTGGTTAATTGGACATAAATTTCGTGAGTCATGACATAACGTTATGTAAACATAATTTTGTCCAATTCATATTGGAGCGCTGTTTAAAGCCTAATGAAATTGTTACGCAGTTACCTATTGGTTGTTAATCGAAGTATTGACCAGTCATAATTTGGAACAGAAATTTGCTTCCATTACAGCAGTGCTAAGTGGGATTAGGACTAATCAAACAAAACACTGCGAGGAGTATGAAGGTTTATTTACTGAGACTTGATACAAAGTGGTTGGTTGAAAATTAGTGGTCTGTACCCAATGACCTTCAACGCAGTTGTCTCCTCCCTTGACTTTCCTGGGAGTTGTCTTTTCCTGACAACATGGACGACTGCTGGACATAATATCGACTATTTGTTGATGATTTGTATATTAATGAATGATTGTAGATAATTTTTGAAGTCAGCAGTATCAGCTGTAAGTCAAAATATCAGTGTGTTGTAAATGTGCATTAAAAGAAACAAAATGATGTATGTGCATGATTATATTTTCATGACGCATGTCCATGTATTTTATTTGGACTATTTCAAATTCATTTTTGCTCTTGCGGATGCACGATATTAGATATTTGTACGATCTGAGAAATATCTTTCCGTGTTTATACCCACAATTCTAACCCTTCAGAATAGCTTTAGCGTGTGCGTGTCTGGTTAGTTCTATTTCATAAGGCCAACTTCAAGTTTGGTCAAAGGTCAGGAAATGTAAACAGGGCTAGCGCTAATCCCAGCCCTGGACAGAGCCCTAATGTTTATCCTAACATCTCACCAATATCCCTTTTTCATGTGTTTTCAGATTAACTCCTGTCACTCACAGTTTCCAGTACGGTACCAATAATCATGGCAACGATGCTGAAATCTGGTCAATTGTTAAAAGACGCAGCAAGAATCTTTACATCTTTGATGCCATCAATAACAGCAAAATCAGGTCAACATATCGGCGTGTATAACATTACCTGTCTACGAACATTTAGTGTAGCTTCAAATCCAGCCATTTACAGAAACAATGTGCCGCAAAATCAAACAAAATCAGCGCCCTTATTACAAAAAAATACAAATATTTTCAACCCATTTGTGCTTCATAGCCAAGTTCGACATTACAAATCTAAAAACATTTTACGTCTTCGGTGCTCGGGTTGTTATTTTGTGAAAAAAAATGAAAGACTTTTTGTGGAATGTAAATTAAAACCACGACACAAGCAGATGAAGAAGATGCCAAACTGGGCGTTATATAAAGAAGATTATTCGGAAGGAAATATAAAAAGGGCGCTGCATTGGAATTATTTTCACGAGAGAGATTATCAGATGGGAAATAATAAATTTGCGAAGTATAATTGGCTAGAAGGAAAATTAGGACATACATTATAGAGATGGATAGAGAGAATAGTAGTATAAATAGATATATTATAAATAGAAATATTAAATATGGTTTGATTTAAGATACAAATGTTATGTAAGAGGTCTTTTTTCTCGTGGGGAGGGGGAATGGTTAACGCATAATTGAGTCAAGTGACATGGTTTCGATTTTCCACTTGTTTGTGACAAGGAGTAGGCCCGTCTGTACAACCTCGTAGGTTCTCCGGGTCCCCCGCTTTCCCGCCACTGCTACTAACCCCAACCCGCAAGGGAATTATTGAAATAAAATTGAACCATATGTTAGTCCCGTCATGAACTATTTTGTGTCAAGTGAATGTTAAACCCGATTTCTCTCTCTCTCTTTTCTGGCTTCAGACGTTAATGTTATATTCACATGAGAAGCTCCGAATCAACTCTCAAGAACATCTGATGGCTGCGATATTACGTGGATTAGACCATCTGTACCATTTAATTAACTTTAAAAAAGAATATTAAGATTTTGTTTATTATTGTAGTAATGACAATCGAGACTGTTTATTATTGTAGCAATGACAATCGAAACTAGGCTATTTGAATGAAATTTTTAATATGTTTATTTGTCGTTATCTTTTTTAAACTATTACAGTATTTCAAGAACGACCATCTCTTTATCTATATCTAAAACATTTTGTTTTTTATTAAAGCAATAACAATTGAGACTATACACTATTTGAATGATGCGCTGTATCATAAAGTCTGTCATTGAGTCAACTGGCGTGGTTTCGAATCCCCAGTTGTACGTGACAAGGAGTAGGGTCACCTGTCCAACCTCGTGGGTTTTCTCCGGGTCCTCCGGTTTCCTCCCACTGCTAAAGACCCGTACGCGCAAGCGAATTATTGTTTTATGTTCTGTGGTCGTCTCTTGTTGTCATCTTTACCCATCTACAATTTCTTGTGAACACCCGACAGGTTTATTTCAAAGTTGTGAAGGCTGTGAGTAATGGTGACATTTAATATCTTGGGTGTTTTCAAGATACCGATTATGGTTAATCGATTTGTAAATTCCATTTAATCACGTTTACGGCAAAAATTATCCTAATCCGTTTCACATAAGTGTTGTATTTAACAGATCAATTATGCAAATTTTCCAACTTGCTCGCCTGTGCTGGATTGACGTTTCGAACCGATTCGAATACCATCTGGAGACCTACATGTATATCATGTACAAAACAAGATAGGTAATCGAAACATTATGTTTTAACTGGAAGGGGATCATTAACATGCTGTCAATGGTACAGGATGCGGGAATCCCGTCTGGACATTTCTGCTGAACTTTCTCGACTTTCCCCTGGATATCCCCATTGATAATGTCTTGTGAGCAGGTTAGAGGACAGATTTTTTGCTGGGATTGTTCAGTTATCTCCCTTTTTACATTCAAATTAATGAAATCTTATGAACATGAATCATGAGACACTGTCTACAATATGCACGTAACTAAACCTATACTAGGAGTCAGTTCCATTTCATTTTATTTTTGGGTTGTTTACGCAAATGGGAGAAATGTGATTGGATAGTAATAAAATTGATATCGATCTGACAACTGAGGTGGTGTTACTAGAATATGTTTCAGCTGTTGTGGTTGGTTAAGATATTTTCTTACTCATTCTACATGTACATGTAGTAATAAGCCCCCACTACCACTGAGCTCCATTTAGTATCACCCACGATTATCGAATTCAATCTTGTATCACCCACGACTACTGAGCTCAATCTAGTATGCCACACGAATATCAAACTCAATTTTGTATCGCCCATGCCTACCATCCCAGTCAAATGGGGTTAACATCCTACTGTTCTACTTCGACTGGCTAATGAAGACGGGCATACGCCCGGGAAGCGGCACAAAGCCTACTCCTATAACAAATTCCAACCGCCCAGGGATCTTATATGTGCATGCCAATGTGTACATGGGATCTAAGTTTTTCGTCTCCGTCGCACGACTAGACAGCTGCCCTCGTCAGGCCCCGTATCCTGTACTACAGATAAGGGGGAACCATGCTGTAAAATCCGGCCAAGTGATAGAACCCGCAACCTCCAAGCTAGCGAGCCAGCATCTTACTCACTCAGCCACCGTGGCTCCCCAATACCCGAAACAAAGAAATGATCTTTATACATGTACACTACGTACTCATTATGAAGATAACATTCATCTTGGTCTTTCACATCAAAATTGCTGCCCAACTTTTTTGTTTTCGGGGGGTTGGATAGCCAAATGGTTAGCACGTGTGCACTGTATCATAAGATCTGTCATTAAGTCAACTGGCATGGTTTCGATTCTCCTGTTGTACGTGTCAAGGAGTAGGGTCGCCTGTCTAACCTCATGGGTTTTCTCCGGGTTCTCTGGTTTCCGCCCACTGCTAAAGGTAATTATTGAAATAAAATTAACCATATGTTATTCCCAAAATGACCTAGTTTGTGTCAGAGGAGTTAAACCCCATTCTCTCTCCTCTCTCTGAGTTTTCAAATAAAACAAACTAATTGTTGATATTTTACAAGCTTTAGCTTTATTTTAACACAATAAAAGGCATGTTGTCATAGTAACATGTCGTCATAGTAAAATAAAGAGTATATTATAATATTGGAAGAATGGAAAAATAAATCAGAACAAAAAAAAAAAAAAACCTTGGCATAAATTCTCTAAAGTAAAATAAAATATAACCAACTAAACTAGACAAAAAATTCAAACATTGTGTAAAAATGAATTTTTTGGTAGGAAAAAATCTGATATTTACAACCTCCTTGCAAATGACTACAACCTGTTCCATGGTCAGCTAGGTACATGTAGCAAATGACTACAGTCTGTCCCATGGTCGGCTAGGTATCAAAAGTAGATGCATCATTTGAATTTTTTGTTAAAATATCAAATTTGTAACAGGTCAGGTTAATCCACACTATTGTACCCCGATTGATTATTGAACAGGAAAACATAATCAAAATACCAAAGCTAGATAACCTCCAGGCATGGATTCAATCAAACATGTCTATCAATAATTTTCCGAAGACAACAAAATGGCAGTGGGCTTATTATATATGGAACAGGATAGATCGATGAAATTTTAATTCCACATATATTTGTAAAAGCTGAACGGAACTGAATCATTGTTGGACCGATAGAGATTGTAGTTTGCCAGTGATTCCTATCACAATAAAATGATGCATCAAGACTTCAACGGATTTGACCGACGTGAAGGTTATGACAGACTTTAACATGATTAAACCAATGTTTATTACTAATAGTTATATTATTCCACGGTCAGAAATCATTAAAATCAATAATAACTCAGTTTTAAAAGAAAACTGCTCTATGATCAGTTAAAATACAGATGAGACGTCACCCTTTGATGTTGGAGTACCATTATTTCAAATAATCGTATGGGCAATGTGCCAAGCGTAACTTGGTAAAATATTGAAATCGAGTGACGTATTTCATTGCAAAGCACGTGCAAGTGTCTGTATTTTAAGTTGTTTAATGGTCTCGAGCTTAAGACATTGCATAATATATTGTAAAAACATTCGGGCCTCACGGCCCTCGTGTTGTTACAATATATTACTTAATGTGTCGCTTTCAACCATTAAACAATACATAGTTACCCATATATCATAGACTTTAGTTTTTAAATCTTGGGCTAGATGTTATACTTGTTTTAATAGGGATGACCTAAAACAATATCACCATAGTAACAGATATAGGTATTTATCAGTATGTTTATAATATTATGCTGATTAATCAGGTGTATCAATATATATAGAACACAATCAACAAATTTTACCGATTTTCTTTCATTTGGGTAAAAAAAAAAAAAACTTTTTCGATTTCAGTAAACTTAATGCCTCAATTTTTAAATTAAAAATGCCCAGATGGATTCAATACTAAAGTACATCAAAATTTTCTGGTTATGAGAAGTGATATTAGATGTTCTAGAACAGCCAGAATACCCTGCATCATTACTATTTATAGATAATCTATCGCAATGGTTGGGACCTGGATTTCACAATCTGTGGATTAAATATACGACTTTTTGTTGTCAATAGTTTTTCCTCCAAACTCATACTAAAATAAATTGCCACTAACTCTTTTAAGATTTGTCCAGGGTTTGTCCAAAGAGATTAACCAATTCAATTTCTATCTATATCAGAGAGATTGTGTTCCTTTGAACCTGTTTTCTAGAGAAAAAAAAACAAACGTAAATGGAAACCAAGATGTAAATGATAATACCATACTACATGTACCCCATTATGTAAAATAGATCTAATTAATAGGCCCTTAATAACTCCACTCATTATAGAATCTTTAGCACTATATACTGCACATGATGCCCTTAAAGTAACATTCTCTCTGTCGGAAACCCAAGTTTCTCTCTTTCAGAAACCCTCCTCACCCCCAATTGAAAACAAATCCATCTTACTTTTGACCTCTGTATGGAATAAAATCTAATTGTTTATATAAATGGATCAAAATCAGGTGACATTACTTACTAATAAATTTAATATTTATTAGAAACAAAAGATGAAAACGATAATCAACATATCAGCCAGGTAAAAAAAAACCTTTAAAGATTTTAAAATATGATGACTTTCGGTAAAACTGAATGGAATAAAAACAGACCTTGCCATTATAAGGAAATATGTGAATAGCGAAGTGAGACAGTCCCAATATTTTATTTGAATAGCAGAAGATAACAGCCTACTAATTGTATAGTTTGTTTATGGAGCGTTAATTTTTATCACCTTGGTTGGTTTATAGTTGTTCTCCAAAATTTCAAATTCAAATTTAAGTTAGGATGTGTCATCACTCTCCTTATAAGGCAAGGTGTGAGAAGAAATAATCGGTATATTTTTATCTTTTGGAACTGGAGAGATCTGATCAATATAATAACCTAAAAAAAAAAACAAACAAAAAGAATGTTTGCTGTTCAATCCAAAGCTTAGCTTATTGTACAAATATATTTACAGTCATTCTCATTAGCTCATCCTCTCTCAAAAAACATGACTCCACTCTTGATAAAATATCTTTTATCGTATTGCTCGGGTAGCTACTACCATGTTCACAGACTTTTTCGTAAAATCCAAACGTTTTTTGTCTTTTTTAAGTCAGTTGCCAAGTTCTGACGACTAGAAGAGTTGTTATGTTTGGCTATATCTGTGATTACGTGATGCTAATTTTCCAATCTGTGGCGTGTTGAAACCATGACGACCTGTTGAAACCATGACAACACGTAGAAACCATGACGACATGTTTAATGAGAAATGAGGAGTTTTGAGAATAATTTACAACATTACTCACAGAAAATACTTGGAACTATAAACTTATTAATAAATCACTCAAAAGTTCTACCGTACAGGAAATATCAAATTTCAGCTTTATACAAAAAATCTTGCCATAATGTCCACCTGTTTTTCAGGTTAAAAAGAGAATTGGTGCCTGGTTGATGTAAGATGCCGTCTGCCAGGAACCCCCACAGCCCAAGACTCGCGTAAATAAAACGTGTACTACATGTATACAACCATGGGCCTTCGGTCTTGTGACTTTCGGATGCAACAAAAAATGCATATAACAGATCTTATAACAGTTGAAATCTGACAAAGTGCATGTGAAATTTTTCCTTAAAGCACAATAAATGGTGTATGCTTAGCTTCATTAGAGGATTGGTGCACATGCAAGACCTACCCACACAAAAACCAAACATGTAGTAAATGTATACAGCTATCTAAAACTTCCGTGTAAGCACACATCCCGCCCCAAGCCCTTGGTCAGTAACAGACTTGAGGCTTCGCGATAGGCATGGAGTGTATCTTGAACGATCCAGGGCACATTGCAAGGAGTATAAATATATCTTGAATGAGTCAGACGGTATCACCACGAGGGGTATAAATATATCATGAATGAACCAGGGGGTATCACCACGAGGGGTATAAATATATCATGAATGAACCAGGGGGTATCACCACGAGGGGTATAAATATATCATGAATGAACCAGGGGGTATCACCACGAGGGGTATAAATATATCATGAATGAACCAGGGGGTATCACCACGAGGGGTATAAATATATCATGAATGAACCAGGGGGTATCACCACGAGGGGTATAAATATATCATGAATGAGTCAGACGGTATCACCACGAGGGGTATAAATATATCATGAATGAACCAGGGGGTATCACCACGAGGGGTATAAATATATCATGAATGAGTCAGACGGTATCACCACGAGGGGTATAAATATATCATGAATGAACCAGGGGGTATGGAGAATGATAAAGAGGGCATCTTACATCAACTGATCTGCTTCTGTTGATAAGAAAGACCACCGGAAGTAAGTTGATCATTTTAAAATATAAATATTATATTTACAATGTCAACAAACGTCCTTATTTAAAAAAATTCATCCACAAAAATCCTCTGAAAATAAAGTAATATAATAAACATGGCGTCCATGAAAAATAAGGCTCTAAAAATCAGGTGTCATTTTACTTCAAATGTAAGTTTTTAGTCTTAATTTCTCGTCTGTTTGGCTCAAATTTGGTTCAGTATATGTATTGCTTAACACCTTATTCCCCCTTTAAAAAATGAACAGGTCTATAGTGAATAACTTATTCATGTCCAAATTAAATCTTGGATCACATGATTTTAGAATATAGGGAGAGAACATGATCCCAACTTCAATTCAGAAATGATTGATTTTAAAGTAAAATGCATATATACGCTGTATTGCACTAAGATGATGCCCCATTTAACATACACAACACGATGCATAGATAGTTACTATAAATAGTAACATTTTACCCTTCCCATAACACCCTGGCAGATATTTTAAGAAAACTGTCCGTGATATATTTTTAAGGAATTATTCAATATATATTTTAATAACAATGAAAACATGGAGAAAAATACCAGGGAAACATAGAACAATATTACACCATTTTCGCGACCATAATCTAACGCTTTACAATTGAACGTTTTTTTTAATATAATTTAAACCCACTTATTGTTTATACTACATCAAACTTTTAACGAATGGCTTCATTTTACAATTCCATATCTAAATGAATGGTCAGATTACTAAATACAAAATTTATTTTTGCTTAACCCTAATAAAATAGCTTCATTTTATGTAAATGAATAGGTCATATTACCATTTTTATGTTAAAAGGCAGAATATCAGTGGTTGGTCTAAAGACTTGAACTTTGCCCTTTATGATCTGTCTCATTTTACAGTTTATAATAACCCTTTGTCCACCCCCCTTACCCTTGTCCCCACCCCACCCCCTTTACCCCTAGAGCCGCCTTGCCTAGCTATCCTGATAAATTTTTTAATATTGCATTTTTTCATTAAAAAAAAACATGAATCATATTTTAAATGCAGGATTGGATTTAGAAGCAAGACTGTATTCCATTCTAGGCCTCAGATCTACATGTATGCTAACAACAATTCAAATAGTCGTGTAATAGAACTGGAATACAGATTGCCAGAATTTACCGGGTCATAAACTTTTAAAAATTATTTTAGACAAATTTGGTTAAATGTTTAAACAAACAAAAACAGACAGAGGCTGATTTAAAATATCTTCCAGCTAGACCCAATATCTACATAGACTGGATCAACTAGACCCTATGTAGACTGGATCAACTGAAACTATGTACGTTACCACCAGATATTAAACTAAACTATTAGAGTTATCCAGCTGACCCTAAAATAAACATGTTAATATTCATTTAGTGGTCAGTCCCATTATTTAGACATTTATATCGCTGACTGTAAAACAAGAAACTATTGCTAGCATTTTAATATTGCTCCATTTCTATCATCCATCAGGGACTTTAATTTCACAAGGATGTAGATATTGCAGGAAAAAAAAATATGTTTCTACATAAATTGTGGATATTCTTGGATGAGAAAGATTAGAGTTTCTTATTCCATATTTTATAAAACATTTTTCCTCTAGGCCTACATCAAATTTTTCAATATTAATTTTATATGTTATTTTCGATAGATCTATACTTGTGGATCTTTCGATAGATCTGTATTAGTTTCAACAATATGTTTATGTTATTTTTGGTATTAGTTTGTTGTATATTGTGGAGAATGAGCATTAATTTTTTGCAGCATTAGATTCATGTTTTAACAGTAGGGTATAAAACTGTCCATCACTAATATTAATTAAATACTGGACTACTATTTACGTGTTATACTACTTGTAGGAATAGCGTGGCACGAAGCCCATAGCACCCGGGTAAGAAGGGTTCAGTCCCCTTGTTGATGCCAGTCCAGCCGCAGAATAGCCGAGATTAGGATACGAAGGATGAGCTTGTTGCATCTGTACCCCAGGATAACCAGCATACGGAGAAGATGTTTGATACATTGGACTGGAAAACTGTGGATTGTAGACTGGTTGTTCTAGACTTGTCATTATCGGGGTTGCTATGTATGTTGGCTGGGAATAAGTCGATGCTTGCTGAAATTATATAAAATCACAAAATATTATTTTATTATTTCCTGCTGTCAATAATCTGTAAACAAATGAAACACTGATTTTTGTTTATACATATATATACAAGGACAGCTGTCTAGTCCTTCAGATGAGACGAAAAACCGAGGTCCCGTGTATACATTGGAATGCACGTAAAAGATCCCTTGGCAGTTGGAATTCGATATAAGAGTAAGCTGTATTGCCGCTGCCCGGGCAAAATTTGCCCTCATAGCACACTGTATGGCGTATGCCCGTCTTCATTAGCCCAGTATAGGAGCAGAACAGTAGTACGTTAAACCCCATTTCATTTCATTTATATATATGTATAAATGTATAGCTTCTGACAAAATGAGAAGAGAGACATAGTTTAACTACATGCACGTCATTTCAGAGAGAGAGAGAGAAATGGGGTTTAACGTCCACTCGCACAAACTTGGCCACCTCGGGACCAACATATGTTTTTTAATTTTATTTCAATAAATCACTTGCGCGTAGGGGTCTTTAGCAGTGGGAGGAAACCGGAGGACCCAGAGAAAACCCAGGAGAGTGGACAGGCGACCCTACTCCTTGTCACGTACAACTGGGGATTCGAAACCACACTAGTTGACTCAATGACAGGCTTTACGATACAGCACGCATGTGCTAACCATTCGGCCATCCAACCTCCCCATTTCAGATCTAACATACAATGTATGGCTCAATTTTATTTCAATAATTCTATGATTCTATTTCAATAATTCATCTGCACATTGGGATCAACAAGCTTTTGGGTGTGAGCATAATTGGGGGACCACGAGACAAATCTCAAAGCTGGACAGGAGACCATTCACCTTGTCGTCACATGCAAGCAGGGAATCGAAACCACGCCACTTGACTCAATGACAGACCGTATCATCTAAATCGCACATGAATCGGTTGCTTTTTACCGAGCTGATAATTACGCACAGAAATGGAAAAGAAAAACATTTGAAAGGTATAAGACATACTGTTAAATAACTTTTTGAAAAAAAAATTTGTAAACTAAAAAAAAAAAAATATTATCTTAGGAATACGAATTTTGCTTTTTCCATATAAAATAAAAATCAACTGATTGACTTCAGTTATTGGTTTAATTAGAACTAACCTGATAGGGTAAAGAGTTAGCAACTGAAATATGGGCAGCCATTGTTGACGGAACACCAGCTGGATGTCCACCTGGATGACCTCCTGGATGACCAGCCGGATGACCACCAAGTCCTTGAAAGGCAGCTTGTGGTGTCCCTAAAGAGGGTGGCATTGATGAACCATAGGCTGCCGAGGACAGGGCTGAATAAACAGGACTCCCAGAGTAAGCCATGGCATATGCTTGAGACGGTTGCCCGTAGGAACTAGCTTGATGTTGACCAATAGATGGCATACCGGCACCTGGCTGCCCCACAGTACCAGGTGTTAACCCTCCTGGTGGAAAGGCCTGGGCTGGATAACCAGGACTAGCAGCATAATAGCCCTGTTTATCCTGACCTACAATGGTCTGTTGAACTCCTGGACTTGGGTAGTAGTTCATGATCTGAAAGAATGAAAGAAGGTTTACAAATTAATACTTTATAAACTTACACTGTTAAATTGAAATACTGTCTTCTCATCCGAATCTTAACATACAACAGTTTATAAAAAAGGTAAATCTGCCTATTACATGGTTTTATTTTGGCTTCAAATGATATATGTAAATTATAATTATTAGATATCTATTCACATGACATTTAATGATCTTGTATAAAAATGGAGAAGCGAGGACAAGTCTTGATTAACAAGTAACATTACTGAGATAGTACACAATGTAAGTCAAAACTTTAAACGATGATAACTCTGCTCAGAATAAAGTAATATGAATGAAATTTGCAATATATTCATTTTCTTTATCTATTTTGAAACTATTATAGTAAGAAAGATCAACTCTTTATCTAAATCTTACATAATGTATCTTTAACGAACTAACTAATATTTTTGTTATTAGATGACACAAGCGATCACAATCCTATTTCGTTTCGTTTTTTATAGTTCAAAATTTCGTTTTCCTCGTCTTTACTACACCAGAATCTCTAAGAGTTGTTCTATAACCTGTGTTCTGTGTGATGTGAGGGATTAGTCAATGAAACAGTTTGTTACTGCATGTTTTGGGCGTAAGGACTAAAGGAGCACAAAACTTTGGGTAAACCACTAGAAACGTCAACACTGACCGATTAATCAATGTTTGACGTCAAAAGTCGCTTGTATGACACCTGATGCGACCTTCCACTACAACCAGTCAGATCTTCATGTAGTACTATAGAGGCCATCAAAAGTATAAAAAACCGAAATGAAATTTTAATCAGATTGAGATGACAAGTGATTATGACGCTAAACTAATAGTAATATTTATTTTATGATCAGTAGTGGAATACCGCGTTTTATCAGTGAAATAAAAGTGTTATTCCACTGGCTAGCAGTGAAAAAAAACTTGTTATTTCACTGGCCGCCGGAACTACTTTTTTTCTGGAGTTACACTTTTTAGTGACAAAATTATGAAAACAATATGGCCGACACGCCGACTTGTCCATCGTTACATTCTCAAAGGTATTCATACACCAGAAGCAGATAAAGATGTAAAGCGGTCTAACACCCCCCCCCCCCCCCTGTTGTCAAAGCAGACAAAGTAGCCCATGTTGTTTTTACCTAAAATGATTGTAAAATCATAAAATAAATAGAATGTTTGTCGTTTTGTCGTGAATAACATATTTTATTTCATCTCGAAGCAGTTTTCTTGCTTCTCGATGAAATAAGATATGTTATTCACTCTAAAACGACAAATATCCTCTATTTAATACATGGGGTGTACTCTTGCTACACTTGCCCAAATTATTCTTGAATATCAGAAACTACAAATATATACATGTATTAGCGATTCAATTTTAGGCTAGCCTCGATCGTCATTACTACCATCGGTACGATAATAAACAAAGTCTCGATTATCCATTTTACGGTTATTTCATCCACCAAAAAACCTATTCAAATCCACTAAACATTGCAGGCATCCCATGACATCAAGAGTTGATTATGGTCTGGATAAGTTAATTAATGTCTAATTAATAATTTAGATAACATTTCAGGCCAAATGAAAGACCTGCAATAGGCAGATTTAGCTCTCGTATAATGCATGTTTAATGATGTTATAAAATCTCAGATTGCAATCTAAACCTAGCGGGGAATCGAAACCATGCAGCCGGACTCAATCGTGGACCTTATGATTTCACGCATTAAACTATTCACTGCCCTTTATTGAACAAACCTTGTTGCTTGAGTTACCAAAAGATAGAACTGTTCTTAATCTTAACAGTAAACATTAATGAAATATATTTTAAGATAAAAAAAAATTAAATCTTACGTAAAAAGATATTTAAAGAAATTCTCTTCCTGCTTACATGGGTCTCGAATTAACTGACAACTAAACCTGAAGATAGAAATAAAAATATAAATAATTCACACAGCATAATCTCTATTGTGCAGAATACTCCCACCATAGGTAGGAGAGCGAGAGAGAGAGAGATGGGGTTTAACCTCCAATCGACACAAACTAGGTCATTTCGGGACTAACATATGGTTCAACTTTCTTTCCATAATTCGCTTGCGCGTAGGGGTCTTTAGCAGTGGGAGGAAACCGGAGGACCCGGAGAAAACCCACAAGGTTGGACAGACGACCCTACTCCTTGTCACCTACAACCGGGGGATCAAAACCACTTCCCCCATAGGAAACAATAATTACAATACACCTTAATAACTAGAGATTTTGGATACGACACCCAAGTATATTTTTGTTTATGTTACTGTCAATCAAATGGAGCCGCTGTGGTTGAGTGAGTAAGATGCTGACCCACTAGTCTAGGTGTCAGGTTTGCTCCCGGTGTCGATTGAAAAGGTTCCATAAAATTTTCCAGCTCAGTGTCTCCTCAGTATGAAAACAAAGACCCCATATGTAAACATATTGGCGTGCACATAAAGAACATTTGTAAGATGGAATTTGATATACATATAAGACTAGGCTGTAGCCGTGCTGTCCGGGCAAAATTTCGATCATGTAACATACTGCATTAGCCCATTCAGTGCAAAAAAGTATAAGATAACGTTAAATCCTAGATCATTTCGGTCTTCAGACTTTAACAATTTGTACTAGAGACTTCAGACCAGGTTTCTCCTCTCATCATAACTCGCAAAATATTCCAAAACTCGGCAATCAACATATTTAAAAAAAACATCGCTCAACTTTGTGTGAGATTTATGCTGCCCGTATTCCATAACACAATAAAATATCCTTGTAAACATCTTGGATATCATGTCATAAAATCAATCTGATTTCCTGTACATGTTGGAGGTATCATTAATCTCCGCACAAAGTTCTCTTGATTTTTTTATATTGTAAGAAAACATGAATATACATGAATATACGGTAAACTTTGCATAAGTCGGATCTAAGTGGACTGATCAATTAAATCCGAGTTAAGCGAAGATCCGAGTTAGCCGAATACCGAAATTCAATCTTAGCTCGATCAGAAATGAACTGCAATAACCGGATAATTATTGATTCAAAGGCACATTTTAAGCTTTTGTTCGTATGTGCGAGTAGATAACTTCCGTTTTGGTGCGAGTAGATAACTTTCGTTTTGTCGCCATCTTTGAACAATGTCCTAAATTTTCCCGGAAAGTGTCTCGTACAGCAGACAGCCAGTTTCGAACTGGGAAAATTCTATTATTGAGTCGCATCAAATAATCTGATTTGAGTCAAAATGATACATGTAGAGGAAAGTATTTTGGGCCGCTGTGCATGGAATGCCTGAGCGCGTTTTAGACCATCGGGATGAAACTGACAGTGAAATTCTGAACATACTGTCAATCTGACTTAGGCAAAGAAAAAAAGCCTGATTTAAATCAAATGGACCAAACATATTGATCCGAGTTGAGCAAAGATCCGACTTACATGCAGAAACTTAAACATGCATTATGCAAGAGCTAAATCTGTCTATTGCAGGTCTTTCTTTAGGCCTAAAATGTTATCTAAATTATTAATTAGACATTAATTAACTTATCCAGACCATAATCAACTCTAGATGGCATCGCTAGCTTGGATCTTAAGTGGATTGTGATCCGATTTACTGCATAACTTTCCTTCTCGATTAAACGATTAAATGGATAATCGAGACTATGCTGTTTAACGTACTGACTTAAGTAATGATGACCGAGGCCAGGCAGAAATTTTATTCGCTTAGTTCTCGGTTGATAGTGGATCAATTTGAATGAAATTTTCAGCAAATTGCCTTTAAGTTATCTAGTTTTTAATTATTATAGTGAAAACTGCCAACTCGCTTTCGAATCTCCCATAATGTATCTTTAATAAGAAAAAAAAAAACGTGCAGGATCAAAGGGTTCAAACGATTTTATCCGAGTTGAGTGAAGATCCGACTTGTACGAATCCGACTTATGCCAGGTTTACTCTGTATTGAAAATTTCATTCCAATTACTTTATTCAGACTCTGAGCGAAGATGTGGGTGTTCGAAGATGTAGCTTAGATTTTTTTGTATGGTAGAAACAGTACTGAAAAAACAAGACTCCGCCTCAATTATCCATTTTGTAGTTAAATTTTTTAATCAAAAAAATGTTTGCTGGCGATATTCTTAAATGCTCGGAAAAGCAAATCAGATGGGTTAATTTGTCTATGACATAACTCAAGTGGATTTTTCATATACTAAGAAATATTTATGACAAAAATAAATGTTACAAAGAAATGTTGTTTTTTTTGTCTATGGAAATATTCAATATTAATAAGCTCAGACTCAGATCTTCAAAAAATTTAATTAGGAAATTGAAACGAAGCAATGGAATGGAAGCTAATAATACCGAGATGTATAATAACTTTTTAGAGATGTCTATTGCCGAGTCTTGAATTCTTTGAGTTGCTAAAAATGTGGCACGGACAGTAAAGTAAGTTATCTTATTTTCTTATTGAATTCAGGCCTTCAACATCATTCAAAATGGCCAATCATTTGACAGTCAATTTGGCTTGAGAAATTGTCACATTTTGCCTTGGACTACTTTTTCTCATATTTCCCCGAGACTGAAGATGAAATGGATAAAATAAAAATAAACCAATCTTGCTAAATAACAGTTTTTTTATGTTTTTCATCAGCATTGATTCATGAAATTCTTGATAGACTTTTGCAGAGTTCAGTTTCTTCCATACAGAATTTAGCTTACTAAACCCAAGACATTTCTGCTCTTCATTACCATCATACAAAATTTACACTTTCAATATTTGGTTAGGCTGTTAAACCTATTGAGTTACTAGAAGAAATCACAAGCAAATCGCCATTTATAATTACTTACCACTAATTAATTAGTAAGAAAAATAAAGTCAATGAATTTAAAGTCAACACAATAAAAGGTGACTTCCGGAATGACCCAGTACCGGGCTGAAGACCGTTCTAAAAGTTGATTGGTTTAAATTAATTTGGTCTTGATCAACTTGGTCTTATTGTTGTCTTGCACCATTGATATTTTTATACAAAGTATTCCTGAATCGACGACTGGTTAGATATTACTGCACCCAAGCTAAAACAGGGAAAAAAGAAGACGCAATAAAATAGGTTTTAGATTCCTACTTTCTGCTAGTCTCCATCATCCAGACAAATATTCTACGTTGAAGACTAGAAGGTTCTAGGTGACCGAGACTAACTTTCTGCACCAACCGGTACTAAATCTATTTATTAAGGCCAGCTCAATTTCGTCAAGGTAGGTAAGATAAGGTTAGGGACGTGATTATTGGCTAGATTGTAGGTTAGGGTAAGCATTAGCTAGGTCCAGGGTTAGTTGAGTTTGTGGGTCAGATCTATTTGATAAGGCCAACTTCAAGTTTGGTCAAAGGTCACTGGATGTAAATGGGGCTAGCGCTAATCCCAATCCTAACCCTCAAATTTATTCTTTTTCTTCTTCAGAAACAAAAATACCAGAAGTACCAGAAGTACCATCCAAGGAAGACCATCAGCCCCACCAACACCAAAAACAGTGAAATCGCTTATAATTCTAATATATTGTAGTCCCTAGTATTTTTAATAAAACTAGTGCTTATGTGGAGACTTAACCTCTCCCCCAAATTCTTAAACCTAACCCTGGACCTAGCCTTAATGCTTACCCTAACCCTAACCCTAACGTACAATTTCACCAACAGGCACGTGTCCTAACCTTATTTCCATCTCAGCGGGGGGGGGGGGGCGTGGATGGCTGAATGGTTAGCGTGCGCGCGCTGTATCATAAAGTCTGTCATTGAGTCGACTGGCGTGGTTTCAAATCCACGGTTGTACGTGGCAAGAAGTGGGGTCGACTGTCCAACCCCGTGGGGTTTCTCCGGGTCAACTCGACACAAACTAGGTCATTTCGGGACTAACATATGATTTAATTTTACTTCAATAATTCGCTTGCGCGTAGGGGTCTTTAGCAGTGGGAGGAAACCGGAGAACCCGGAGAAAACCGACGAGATTGGACAGGCGACCCAACTCCTTGTCACGTACAATCGGGGATTCGAAATCACGACAGTTGACTCAATGACAGACCGTATGACGCAGCACGCACGTGCTAACCAACAGGAATAATGTCAACATGTAGCTTTTTTATAGTGGGAAATTCTAATACTATGTAATGGTATTATTATATTTTTGTAGCTTTAATAATTGAAAATAACAAATACATTTCACGAACTATAATAAATGGTAAACGTTTGTCATTCTCAAACATAAAATATACCGTCATTAATAGTAAATTCGTCAACTTGAGTGAGCATATGAATGCACACGTCACCTCAAGATTTGATCTAGGCCTTGTTTATTGCTATATGTTACAATGAGGCGAGATGATATGCCCCAATCAATGATATAGCCCGATCGGTCTAACATATTACGTGTAATACGGAGTCAACCTACTATTTCTATTTATAGTTACAGGACATGTATATTTAGAAATACAACTTGAGCTCCTGGTTGGCATATTTAATGTAAATGTAAGATAGGTAATAATAACAAGTGTTTATGTAAAGTGAATTAATATTAGATCTCTATCAGTGGATTTTATTCGATCTAAAACAAGCCAAACCTATAACGGTAAGTTCATGTATATAATTGGGAAAATGTTAATAGACGATATTGTTAAGGTAATGTCGTCATGCCCTGTTGGACTCTTAAACTTCCTGGGTTCGAATACAACATCTATTCTATATATCTTGCTTAGATTACAATTACTAGAAATGTAATTTTAACTACTAGAGATTCTTTCACAAACACTTCCAGACATCTACGGTAAGGTTTATGTGCGTTTGTTTGACATAATACAGAACAGCTTCATGGGCGTTTCCCAGAATTAGCTCACTGAAGATATCAGTTTTATACTTAGAACGATTAAAAGCTGAGGGTGTGAGAGGATATCTGACAATTCATAGATTTTCACTAGATAAAAGAAAACGAAATAAATAGAAAAGGCCCAGCTTTCCCTTGTTTTTATTCATTCTCTACTTAATAAAAACATGGTAATGCTCGGACTTTTTCGTGTTTTCTTATCTAGTCACAGTCAATGTTTTGTTTACATTGTCAGATATCCTCTCACAATCTCATATAATAAATTTAACAGAATTATTAGTGAGTTGAAATTCAATCGGATTAAAATACAGATCTATATTTCGTTTCTTTTTTTATACTTTCGATGGCCTTCACTACATGGAGATCTGGCCAGTTGTACCGGGAGGTCGCGTCAGGGGTCATACGAACGACTTTTGACCCTATGACGCCAGACATTGATTAATCAATCAGCGTTGACGTTTCTAGGGGTTTACTCACAGTTCCGTGCAAAGCACGCCAAGCACTCGCCGTAACATACCATTTCATTGGCTAATTCCTCACATCAACTATAACGTATGTATGTTATGTAACAACTCTTCCAGATCCTATTATTGTGGAGACAAGTAAAACGAAATTTTGAAACGAAACGAAATAGGATATGTGTTTTAATCAGATTGGTTGAAATTCGTCCGTGTATCTGTTATCCCTCGTTACTTTAGTCAGTTACATAGAAGGAAAACTCGTGATTTCCATTTTTTGGGTCGCTTTTCGTTTCTTCAAATCTTCGTTACGCATCTATCGTAACAATGACCCCCGTGTTAAAATTATATTTGAAATACGTTTAACCATTTTTTTCAAATACATGTATGTGATAATGGCTCATACTTACATTGTCCTTTAACCTGAATTATGTTTTATTGACAACTCGCCATTGTCATGTTTATTAGCATGACATGTATGTTATCTACTTTCAGAAAATAACAAAAACACGGATCAGTCATTTGTCGTTTTTTACCAGAAGGTAAATCCGATGGTGTCTATCAAGGATCATCTTCATCCAGAAGAAATCAATCAAACAGTAGAGATACCACGATTATAGACAATGATCAGGATTCTGGGTTTGATGCAAACATCGAGGAAGGAAAGATAATAGCAGCCCAGGATAACAGACTTTGGCGTTACAATCTAAAAATAAATCATTTAAGGACAAACCAATTCGGCTAACATAACAACTATGAGTACTTAAATTATGCATACAACAGTCGAACTTGATGCTTATAAGGACAATAGAACATGTCATGACGAAGCCACTGAAGTCAATGACAAAAACAATCTAGATGACACAAACATGGAAGATGACGCTGGGGAATTGTTCCATATCAACAAGGACCAGGAAAACAATAACATAACATCAAATAGAGAATTAATTGGGAGTACTGCACCAACAGCCAGTGAAGATGATAGAACGATGCTCACCAAACAGGTACCAAGAGAGAGGGATAGCCATATAATTAGACAAACGAATATAGACACAGCTAATAACAACCAGCCAAGTGAAGAACCACCATCTGAACAACATTCAGATGATACCAAATTAAAAACAGGTTCGATAACATTTACTACATTCGGTAATGGAATTTTTGACTTGAGATGGGAATTCCATGTTATTATTTTGCTCACTTGACTACTTTATTGATTATGAATTAAGGGTGGTGGTGGCCGAATGGTTAATGCGTGCGTGTTTGATCATAAGGTCTGTCATTGAGTTTAGCGGCGTGGTTTTGAATCCCTGGTTTACGTAGCAAAGAAAAGGGTCGTCTATCCAACCTCGTGGGTTTTTTCCATATGTTAGTCCCGAAATGACGTAGTTTGTGTCGAGTTGACGTTAAACCCCATTTTCTCTATATATACTGTAGCCTACGGTTTATTGTCTTGTTTTAATAGACCGTAAAGCGGGAGAAGATTTTCAGTTGAATTTGCCATCTTCAACACGCCACTTAGTGACATGTCTATCCAAGCCAGTGAAAAGATAACACTTTTTGGTCAACGATTTGCAATAACAAATTGCCTTCTGTTGGTAATACACAAATCGACATTGTAATTTCGATAAATCGGAATGTTAATTTCCAAAACAATGCAATTAAAGGTGCAGTCCTTACAATGGTATGACCAAGTGAGAATGAAACGAGTGATAGGCCTGGCTAAAGAAATCTATAGACTCGAACACCCTATTGCCTGTTTACTTCCTGCTCCTTCCGCCTCAAACCCTTGAATAATCACATAAACTTGGCAGCAAATGGAAATTTAAATACTCGTCTTCGATCCAATCCTAGACTAAAACGTCAACAACCGTTCCTAAAACGGGAAAAGGAGAGAATTGCTACGCATAGAGGAACTAGTCTAATGCCTTTTTAATGGGAAAATAAGACACTATACCCCCCCCCCCCAACCTTTTTCCCAGCCATCTGGTGATTGGTGTTGATTTAGTGGTCTATAATGGAAGAAGAGGGTTTGAATTAACATTTTCTGCCAGGTTTTTGTAAATATTCATGATTTAGAGTTAGTTACGGTGATTCATATGGCGGAAAGGAGCATGTTTTTAGTATCCAACTTCATGTTTGTTTATCTCAAAATTCCATTGGTCAACCTCTCACAGAATCTGGAGCAAAGCCATGGCCACTTGTGACTCTGTCAATAGTGAAGAGCGTCCAGTTCAACCAACAATTTATAGAAATTTTGAAGCCAGGCAAAGAGACCATAATTAACATTAAGTCAATGGGGAAATTAATGGGGGTTTATCTCCGTAATAGCGAAAAAAGAAATAATATTTATCCCCCCCCCCCCCCTGTTTACAGTTATGGTTTGTACAAACGATGAAGAGGAAGAAGAAACTATAGAAGAGATTATACCCGTTAAACATCAAAGAGGATTGATGTCTAAAGCTGATAGATGGAAAATACAAAGACATACAGATTATCTTGTAAATCAACTAGATGCTATAGAACTTATAAATAAACTGTATTCCCAGTTTGTTTTCGGCGACGATGATTATGATTTGTTATTGAATAGCTTAGAGACAAAGGGCCGATACAGATGTATTACACATATGTTGAGGATTTTACGTAGAGAATGTGGACCAAATTCCTACATTCAGTTCCTGGTGGCACTAGAACGATGTGGCTATACCTGGGTTATAAAGACTTTAGAACCTGGATGTGGTATGTATTATAATAAACGAGCTCAGTACCCACTTCGCCCAATTTCTGCTTACTCGCCATCTTCTTTCTTGCACGCTTTTTCGCCACATTGAGTTAATTGGCGTGGTTTCGATTTCCCGGTTGTACGTGATAAGGAGTGGACGGACGTTTCGGCCAGTGGACTTTTTGGCCTAAGATGTTTAGGCCATTGAACATTTCGGCGTAGGACGTTTTGGCCAATTTTACAATTTTTTTATTATTATTATTTTTATGGAAAAATGTTTTGAGATATCACGCCTGGCACGGGCTTGGATCAATCTCACCCCATGCGTTCGGTTTCTTGGTTAGGCGCTCATGATCGTGCCGAGGCAGCCCACTAATTTCGGCATTATTGGCGCCCCTCTGGGATGAGGCGCCCAACCAATCGCACACGGCATTATTCATTATGTGCGATCCGACAATGATATAGCTACAAGTCTGTGTGGGTCTATTGTCAAGGTTTACATGGCTATCTTTTGGTATCTCAAGCGTTCTCCATATTTCAGGTATCTATAAAGGAAAGATGAAATACAGTGGACAGAAGTTTTATGAATTAATAGACAACACCAGTCCTAAATATAAAGAATTTGTAAAAAGATGCGAAAATAATATTGAACAGGTCTACCAGGACAAACCAGGACAACAATTTGTGGTTGTAAAGAAATTAGAGTAAGTTACAATCCAAGTACTACGTACATGAAATCAGTAACGTTTAAGTTGCTATACCTTGTACTTGAATAAACATTTAGTCCGTCTTCATTAGCCCAGTCGGTGCAGTACAACGGGACGTTAAACCCCATTTCATTCTATTTTACATCCGTCATGAATATATATTCTAAATTATGTCTTCTTCCATCTTTTCGTCCTTTCTCTTCTGGCACATTGTTCGTTGACACGAATCCTTGCGCATGCGTAATGTGTTGATTAAACAGATTTCACTGCATTTTATGGAAACATATTCGTTATTTTAAGGGATATACACGTTCATTGAATGAAATTCTATCAACCACAAATAATTATCACAAATAACACGTGCACAGAATGACAATTGGGTAGATCAACACCATTGATTCCAAATATAACTTGGTTTATCGCGTTTTCTTTGAGCTAAATACTGTACAAGTCTCAAACAGAAAGGGATATTTTTAAAAGTGCAAACTACACAGACTTCACAAATGAGAAGTAGTGACCGTGGTTCTAGAAATAAAGAAGCATTGGATTAGATCTGCGAAAACGTATGTGCAATCGTGAGAGAGAGAGAGAGAGAGAGAGGGGGGTAATATTCATCCCTAATATAATATGTCTATTGTAACCTATTTACAGGAAAGGATGTGTTGAAGTAACTTTTCATCTCATATCACTCGGTTCAAATGATGAGGAGGGATTGCGAAGCTGTCTTCAAGATGTCGTACAAAGTGGTTTCATTGATTCTGATCCAGTTGAATCGGATTCGTTTACATTTCATCGTATCACAGGTATTTTTGAATATATGTTTATGATTTATTGTAACACAAATGTCAAATTGTCTTGATGCTGATTGATCTGTTTGGTCAGGCAAATATGTGGCACTACGGGGACTTTAATCAGTAACTCCCAGAAAACGGCCCTTCACACTATATAGGTTTATCACCCTAAGATCTCGGTTCCTTTCGATGTTGGCAGGTATCGGAGTGTAACTTCATGGATTATGGTCCCCGATTTTACGAAAAATCACGTTTTTAGCTTATGAACACTGTAGAGGTCACAATTATTATCCGATTTGGTTTAAACTTGAAATGTATGCTTATAACCCAAAGATCTTGGTTCCTTTCGATATTCGCGCATATCAGAACGTAACTTCCTGAATTATGATTGTACTAAAAATCGCGTTTTTAGTTTGTGAACCCTATAGAGGTCATAATTTTTATCCGATTTAAAAAACCGTATTATTATATCACCGTTACACCACAAGGCCGACTGAGTTCGAATTTCGTGAAAATCGGCCGAAAACTGACAGACAAAATGGCCGCCTTTCGTTCTTAAATAGCGTAAAAATATGGTACATCAAGGTTGTGGACCCTATAGAGGTCACAATATTTATTCGATTTTGTTGAAACTTGAAATGTAAGTTTATAACCCAACGATCTTCGTTCCTTGTGGACCCTATAGAGGTCACAATTTTTATTCGATTTTGTTGAAACTTGAAATGTAAGTTTATAACCCAACGATCTTCGTTCCTTTCGAATTTCGTGAAAATCGGCACAAAACTGACAGACAAAATGGCCGCCCCTCGTACTCAAGTAGCGTAAAAATATGGTATATCAAGGTTGTGGACACTATAGAGGTCACAATTTTTATCCGATTTTGTTGAAATTTGCAATGTAAGTTTATAACTCAAAGATCTCGGTTCCGTTCGATATTCGCGCATATCGGACAGTAACTTCCTGAATTATAGCCCCTGATTGTACGAAAATCGCGTTTTTAGCTTGTGGACCCTATAAAGGTCATAATGTTTATCCGATTTAAAAAAAACGTGTTATAATATCACCGTTACACCCCAAGGACGGCTGAGTTCGAATTTTGTGAAAATCGGCCTAAAACTGACAGACAAAATGGCCGCCCTCGTTCTCAAATAGCGTAAAAATATGGTATATCAAGGTTGTAGGCCCTATAGAGGTTACAATTTTTATCCGATTTTTTTTAAACTTGAAATGTAAGTTTATAACCCACAGATCTCGGTTCCTTTCGATATTTGCGCATATCGAATTGTAATTTCCTAAATTATGGCCCTTGATTGTAGGAAAAATCACTTTCTTTTTAGCTTGTTCTCTATCCATCTCTCAAAAATGTGGGTGTATCCTGCATGGCCGCCGCTGGTACGACGGTTATATACAGAAAACTACACACACAGCTATGACATTATATATAAGATAAATATAAGTTCTATATACCCAAGCTTGTGTTTTTCGCTGGAACGCCCTTCTGAGAATAGGAAATGATGCCCAAAGAAACTTAAACCCCGCAAGTCTATATAAAGAGGATACGTGCACGAGTCATGTATTGACCCTCGGGAAAGTGGCCAGGTACACTTTTGTCTGGTTGGTCAGCTGCACAGAAGCTACCCTGAATTTTAGTGTACTAATATGGACACGCAGGAGGACGGGTGTCCACGTTTCTAACGTATGGGATTGCCATATTTGGATTACCAGACTATGATGTCTTTGCCCGATTTTAATCTACCAGACATAATATACTTGTTATCCTAGTTCTCGTTGCCTTTAGGTTCTAGCTAACGAATTCAATACATAAGAGCATCGTTTGCAGAACCTAAATAACCTCTACAGTATTAGAACTATACGTACAAATATTGCAGTATACATTTTTGTCTTTACTGACAAAAATCAAGAATTTTTACACAAATAACCACCACACTATTTTCAAAGTTAATCTTCTACCCCAACACAATCCTGAAATACATCAAACAACAGTATAGTAATTGAATCATTCAAAACAATAGACGATAAATTACTTGCAATTTCGTTCCAATATGACAGAAGTGATTTCTCATACGGTTTTCGCCAGTATCGCCACTGTGACAATCACATCTGTTATTCCATTCTACTGGTATTAGTCAGTTTTAAATATATGGCATTCTGAACCATATTCTATTATAAACTGGCTCAGTGGGTAAGACGTTAGCTCGCTAACCTGAAGGTCCCAAGTTCGATCCGAGGTCCCGTGTACACATTGGCGTGCACGTTAAAGGTCCTTTTGCAGTTGGAATTCGATATAAGAGTAGGCCCTAGCGCCGTTGTCGGGGCAAAACTGCTCTCATAGCACACTGTATGGCGTATATCCATCTTCATTATCCCAGTCGGAACAGAACAGTAGGACGTTAAACCTCATTTCTTTTCTTTTAAACGTTTACTAACTGGATGTTCACTAATTGTTATGTATTTTGTATTTTCAAGAGGAAGAAATCGCCACTGAAAGGCAATCGATGAAAGGAAAACAAGTAAAAGATCTTGAGAATGAAATACAAACCTTGAAATTGGAAATTATTGATCTGAAGGTAGAAAATGATGCATTGAAATCTGAGTCGGTTCATTCTACGGAAATTCAGAAATTCAAAGAACTCGAAGCTAATAAATATAAAGAAAAACTTCAAGAATTGGTATCGGAGAAGGACCTGGTTATTTGGAACATACGAGAACAACTGGACCAAGAGAAACAAGATAATTACAAATTCCATCAAGACCTGGACAAATTACATCAGGATCTGGACAGATTACAACCAGACCTAGACAGATTACAATCTGACAATAAAACACTTCGACAAGAGAAAGACAAATTGGAAGTAAAACTTGTGGAAGTTGAGCAAATGCTTGAAGAAGAGAATCGGGGGGAGGGAGAGAGAATATCGGTGAAACGGGCTGGAACTGTACTGAGGAGGAGGGGATTGGCAGAGGAGCCAAAGAAGAAAATGATACAGATTCACCATTTTGATGTCATTTTGACATGCTTAACACTATGCGCGCTATTTTATTTTGGCAATATTATTTTTTTTTAATTATTATATTTTGTAGCTGGGGATGACTTTTTTATTATCTTTGATCTAATGGGTGGTCTGCATTGTTTTAACAGTTTTGTATAAGTTGATATTGCCGTCACCGCTGTCCACCCGTCCATTGTTTTGTAAAATCATTCATCCGATATTTTAGTGAATTGTTTACGTAAGTACAACGATGAATTATTGATCGATCTTTTATTAAGTTTCAAATGAAATAAAAATGATTAATTTCATTTCCAGCATATTGATAAAGGTAAATTGTTGTTTGATTCCAATGGGCTATTGACACCAAATGTGACAACCATCAAAGCTTTTCCAATGAGTTGATCGTCAATTCTTATAGCTAACGGTTATAATATCCTTATCTTGTCTGTCGAAAACAAAAGGAAAGATAAAACGAGTTGTCTCCCCTGTTCGAATCATTCAATCCTACTAAGAGTTTAAAGGGACAATAACACTCTTGCTGGCTTGACAGCCCCAGTAAATAAATATTAGCCATATTCTAAGTATTAGATGCTTAAGTGTCCTACCTGTTGTGTAAATTCTCCACTACATCCTATTTTACTTGTCCAGAGGGTTCGAAAATATTTTTAAATCCTTGTCACATTTGAAAATGTTTACGTTAGGCTTTTCAAATCATTTAGTTGAATTTTTCCAATTTTTTAAATTAGGTGTGTTAAGATGAAATTTGTATCATAAATTAATTGGAATACTGTAAAATAGTACAATTTGTTGACCAGAATAAAGATTGGGAGATATTATTCAGTTACAACAAGAGTGGTATTGAACCTTTAGAAAGTGACGTTAAATGGGGTTTAAAGTCCAGTTTGTTCCTACTGGACTAACGAAGTCGGGGATTTTAACTTGACACAAACTACATGTATGTCCATATGGTTCAATTTTATTTCAATAACTCGTCCACGCGTAGCGGTCTTTAGCTTTCGGAGGAAACCGAGGGAACCAGAGAAAACCTATGAGGTTGTACAAGCTTGTGCCAAATAAATCTATATATCTGCGATACTGACATACATATCTCAATTGTGTGAGTGTGGCGGGCAATGGCCTGTATATCCCCCCTTTAACATCCTGCTTTTCCATTTGTTCGAACTAGACGAACGAGGTACCAATGTCTGACCATATAGTCATCTTCATACTAACCTGGGGTGCACAGAAGTGTGCGTCTGTCGGGTTCCAGCCCCTGGGTGTGGCCCTGATGATCCCTAGAATGACCCCCAAAATGGGTTAAGCTCATACATTCGAGGTACCGGTGGAAACCAATTTTAAATTAAAGAGTGCGTCTCACTGACTACGAAACTGCCCATAACAGACCATTTTGACCCTGGGTGGCCCAAACTGACATCCTAAATACGGACTACAGAGGGCCTGAAAAAGGCTATATTCATACATTAGATGAAAAAGTATGTCCAGCTGAGTACTAAATTTAGGACCCTGGAATGACCCAAACTGACACCCCAATTTTAAATGAAGGGTACATCTCACTCGTGATTATTGGTTAGATCTATATCATAAATCCAACTTCAAGTTTACTCTAAGGTCACGAGATGTAAACAGGGCTAGCCCTAATCCCATTCTTAAACCTAACCCTGGACCTAGCCCTAACGCCTACCCTAAACCCTGGACCTAGCCCTAACGCCCACCCTAACCCTGAACCTAGCCCTAACAGCTACCCTAAACCTAATCTATAATCTCGCCAACAATGACGTGTCTTAACTTTATTTACGTCTCAGCGACCATGACGAAACATTTAGTTGGCCTTAACAAATAGATCTAGTCGTGATTATGCTCAAATTTGTACAGATGGTTCTAAATATGGTGATCGGGAAGCCTCGGCTACTGTAACGTCTTCTGAAACCTGCAACTTCTATTTTTACATCTGAGCTTCAAAAACTGGAGTTCATTCAATCGCCATCTACTATAAAGCATGTCATCTTTACTGATTAGTTGCCTCAATTCAAACAATACGAATAAACAGCTCGATCACCCATTATAGTGGGAAATTCCAACACTATGTAATGACAACGGGACCAATGTCAACATATAGCCTTTTTTATAGTGGGAAATTCCAACACTATGTAATGGTATTATTATATTTTTGTAGCTTTGATAATTGAAAATAACATAATATGCTTTTTACGAACTATAATAAATGGGAAACGCTTGTCATTCTCAAAGATAAAACACCGTCATTAGTACTACATTCAACTTGAATTGGCACATGAATGCACACGTCACCCCAAGATTTGATCTAGGCCTTGTTTATTGCTATATATTACAATTCGTCAACTTGAGTGAGCATATGAATGCATACATGACAATGTGAACTCTAGATTTGATATAGGTCTTGTTCTTTGCTATATACGTATTACAATAAACAGTAATTTTAACGTGCCTCTAGATAAAACAGTTCATGCTTTGAAAATCTAAAATCCGTGCTTTAAAAAATATTATGTAGCCTTGTGAATCCGAGAAGCACCTGACAGTGCCATGTTCTGCCATGTAACTTTCGAGCTTTAGGTGGTTGTGGGAATACGTCAACAATACAAAACTTTTGAAATGAAATGAAATGAAATGGGGTTTAACATCCTACTGTTTTGCTAATGAAGACGGGCATACGCCATACAGTCTGCTATGAGGGAAATTTTACCAGGGCAGCGGCGCTACGGCCTACTCTTATATCGAATTCCAACTGCCAAGGGATCTTTTACATGCACGCCAATGTGTACACGGGACCTCGATTTTTCGTCCCATCTGAACGACTAGACAGCTGTCCTTGTCAGGCCCTCCGTCCTGCATCACTGACAAGGGGAAACCACGCCGGAAAATCTGGATGAACTTTCTCGGCCAATGCAGGGATCGAACACCCGAACTCCAAGCTAGCGAGCCAGCTTCTTACCCACTTAGCCACGTGACCCCCGAAAACTTTTGAAACAGAAATCGAAAGTTGCCGATGATCATAATGATAGGTAAGTGTCCCCATACAATCTGTAAAGGTTCGTTTGCCTTTGTATTGACTTTGGATATTTATTTGGGCCGCTAATGATACTGACACACGGTTATAAATATAAATATGTTAATTCTCTTATATTTTGGTTTTATATAAGCCAATAAAACCTTAAAATAGCCCCTGACAATGAGGCGAGATGATATGCCCCATTGAAGTATATAGTCCTGTCGGTCTAGGCATATTACCTGTAATACGGAGGCAACCAACTTCTATTTACAGGAAATGTATATTTAGAAATACCGATGGTTGACATGCAATGGGGTTTAACGTCCGACTGGGATAATGAAAACGGGCATACGTCATACAGTATGCTATGAGCGAAATTGTGCACTATGGCCTACTCTTATATCGAATTCCAACTGCCGAGGGATCTTTTACGTGCATGCCAATTTGTACACGGGATTAATTTCTAAAACATGTTTTTTATGTATTAGAAAAATAAAGACGTTTGACGTATTTGTAGGTAAAAATGATTTCCAATTTTAGTGTAAGTGGGTATTAAATGAGTAAAAGGCACCATTTCGCCCGAATGAAAAGTCACGTGTTGAAGGTAGTCATCTTTTTCAGAGATATTAGAATAATTTCGTAATCCTATGTGAAACAGATTGGTTGTTTTGTAGTGGTGTCTTATAGGACACCGTTGTTTTGTGACTTTTCGAAACCGAAAACGAAAATCGTATAAGACAAGTATAAACAATGTTGAATTGTTGATTTCCTAGCCCTGTACGGAATTAAATTAATCACATTATGTAACTTACAGAATTTAAAAAAATAATAATAATGCTTTATTCTGTAATAGAATCATACTATGTACATGCTATTTATCACCTACACTGTCTCAATCTGTTTTACAGAGAATTACGAGTCTTCTCTAATATCTCTGTAAATGACGACTGTCGTTAACACGTGCCGTCACAGCACGCGGTGTCAATCATTGGCTGAATGGCGCGTGCAATGTTTACATAAGCCGTTACTGCTTCGGGCAGAATGCTGCCTTTTAGTCATTTAATACCCATTTACACTAAATAGGAAATAATTTTTACCTACAAATACGTCAAACGTCTTTATTTATTTTTCTAATACATCAAAAAGTGTTAGAATTTAATTTGTCGGTGGACAAAAGTTAATATTTGAAACTCATTAAGTCGCATTGATGTCATCCTTATCAGTGATTGTAGGGGCCGAGCGAAAATTCACTGCTCATCAGTGTGATAATACAGAACAGCTTCATGGGCGTTTCTTACAATTAGCTTATTGAAGATATATGTTTTATACTTAGGACGATTAGGGACTGAGAGTGTGAGAGGATATCTGTCAATTCATAAATTGTCACTAGAAAAGAGAAAACGAAATAAATAGAAAAAGTCCGGGCATTACCATGTTAAAATGAAAATACAGGTTACATACTATATATACAATCCGAATTTATAATAAAAGTTTGTCTCATTTAAAACGTTTAACAATTTTCCATATAGGCCCAGTTGATTAGTCCATTGGTTATATGGACTGAACTAATTCTCAACTTAAAATTTTTCCATATAGCTTCGGTTGATGAGATCTTTGGTTGTATTGAATGAACTATAATCTACCTTAGAAGTGGTATCAGGTTTTCTAGAAATAAAAAGCATACACTGTCTCCTGGTCGTCAATTATTATAGGTAAAGGTTATAAAATCCTTATCTTGTCTGTCGAAAGCAATAGGAAAAAGAAAAAAAACAGTTGTCTCTCCTGTTCCAATCGTTCTATTCTGTTAAGAACAGTGTACACTACTTTTGGTGCCCACAAATTTTACATGTGATAGAACTGGTTAAACACGTCTCAAAAATAAAGCCCGAGTACGTATGAAATTTAAATGCCAAAATACAGATGAATGGTGTATTTACCCGGTCTCAAAAATTCAGCTCAAAATATTGAGTCGTTTGGACGTGAACGTCAAAACCGCTTATCCGGACACGTAACCCTTTCAAGATTTCGGGTCAATTGTTTCGTTGGATGACCCGATAATCGATTGCCGTTACTATTGGATATATATACAGTCCATGACCCAAGTGCTGTACTTGATAACAAAAGGTGAATTTCACCTACACATTCTTTTTATAAACAGACACCGTATAATAAAACTTCAGACACGGGTCTCCATTTTCAGATGAAGACTGGCGGATTTACGTCGTTTGAAAACATATCACGTATAATGAGTTGGTTCCTCGCTCTAAGATAGAGTATTTTAAGGAGAAATGAAATGAAATGAAATGGTTCAATTTTAATTTATTATTCACTCACGCGTAGGAGTCTTTACCTTTCGGGGGACACCAGAGACGGTACAGGCTTGTGCCAATTAATCTAGTTATCTACATATAAATGCCAAGGGTTATTTTACAAGTACGCCAATGTGTACGTCCCATCCGAACGACTATACATTGTCCTGTGTCGCCAGATGAACTTCCTCACCTACCAATCAAAACCAATGATGTAGAAAATTCGCGAAATCGTTTTAAATATCTTTGATTGTCGAGACATTTCATTGGCTATCTAATCAATGTGATATTATACCTTTTTATATATAATTGTCCAAAATTTATTGTTTGAACAAATGCACTTTTAATTGGGATTTGAAACTTTTGTTGTCCCGAATAATTTGAGGTAAATTGTTCCACAGTTTTGGTCCAGCAGTACTAAAGCTCCGAACTGTTTTTAATATTGATTTTGATGATGGAATACACAAAATGTTTTGATGCTAGGATTTCAAAGTACGAGTCATATTTTAATTAGACTGTATTTCGATGAAAGTCAAATAAATTATAAATTTACGCATGTTTATTTTCTGGGTTTTATTTTTAAATACGTGTATTTTGTTTCATCTGAAATTGGATTCGGCATTAGACTGGATCTATTTGACCGTTACTTTATATATAGTTGGGTACGAGACCAAAAATCCGTGTATTGATTACAATATTTCGATTCAGACACCCTTGGAACATACGAATAGACACCTCGGAAGCCTATATTAAATAATTTTATATTTTCCCGCCAAATCTGGCAGCCATTTAGAATTTGGCCCTCTAGTGGATTCCGCCAACATTTTAGAGAGAGGCACCCAAGCTTAATCATCTTCAGCAGGTTTTTGTCATATAGAAACCACCTTCAAAACAACTTCCCCGAAAATTGGTCACGGATTTTAGGTCTCGTACCTAATATAATATATATATATAGTAAATATACAATATAATGCATATACGTAGTAAAGATACAGCATAATTTATAGTATGATTTATATACATAGTAAAGATACAATATAATTGATATACATAGTAAAGATATACAATATAAATTATATACATAGTAAATATACAGTATAATTCATATAGAAAATAAAGATACAATATAATTTATATACATAATAAATATACAGTATACATGTAATTCAATACAAAATAAAGATACAGTAATTCATATACATAATAAATATACATTATAATTCATAGTATGATTTATAGAAATCGCAGGAAAGATAAAATTGGTAACATGAATAATAAATTTATACATTTTATTTCAAGATTGGATTCGAGATTGAACTGGATCAATATAGATCCTTAATTTATATACATGTATATACATAAATATATGTACCCTACTCGGTGGTAATCGACAGTGTACTGTGAGGGAAGACCCTCGCAGTTGTAATCGACAGTGTACTATGCGGGCAGACTCAGGCGGGTTGTAATAGACGGTGCGCTCTGAGGGAAGACCCATGTGGTTGTTAGCGACGGTGGGGGAATGGACGCTGATAGTGTTCGAAAAATAGACAATGAAGGACTCATGAACTGATAGACATTTTGGTGAGCGACAAACTAGAAAGCTGTTTCGCATTTGTGTTTGAATTGCCTTAACTTCACTATTTAGATATATCCATGAACGTAATGAACACAATGAATATAGTTGTACAGAATAACATAAAAATGAATAGTGGCACCATGTTTCGAAGTGCTTCCGAGTCAGACTGTAATCATTTCAGGTACTGTTGTAATTTGTAATTATCTTGTAGAAGTGTTTCACCACGAGACTGTAATTTACTCAAGTCCTGTTGTAAATCGACATTCTTTTCTAGATGTGTTTCACTCTCAGAACTTAATCTCTGCAGGTCCGTTTTTAATTCGGATGCATGATGTCGAAGATCTCGAAGCAGGTCACGGGTCCGTTTTGATTTGTAATACTTATAAGGTAGAGGTACTTCATCGTCAGACTGTAATCTGCCCAGTGGCTTGTGTAATATGTATTGATACTGTCGAGGTACTTCATCGTCAGACTGTAATCTGCCCAGTGGCTTGTGTAATATGTATTGATACTGTCGAGGTACTTCATCGTCAGACTGTAATCCGACCAGTGGCTTGTGTAATTTGTATTGATACTGTCGAGGTACTTCATCGTCAGACTGTAATATGTCCAGTGGCTTGTGTAATAGGTATTGATACTGTCGAGCTACTTTATCGTCAGACTGTAATCTGTCCAGTGCCTTGTGTAATTTGTATTTATTATAATGCCGATGGTATTCTTCATCGTCAAATTGTAATCTGTCCAGGTCTGCTTGTAATCTGTCCAGGTCTGCTTGTAATTTGTCTTTATCTTGTTTCTCGTGGTCCAGTTCTTCATCGTCAAATTGTAATCTGCGCAGTTTTGTTTGTAATATGTTTTTTTTACGTTGTCGAAGTGTTTCATTGTCAGACTGTAATCTGTCTAGGCATTGTTGTGATCTGCCCAGAACCTGTTGTAATCTGTCCAGGTTTGCTTGTAATTTGTCTTTATCTTGTTTCTCGTGGTCCAGTTGTTCTCGTAAGTTCCAAATAACCAGGTCCTTCTCTGATTCCAGTTCTTGAAGTTTTTCTGTATATTTGTTAGCTTCGAGTTCTTTGAATGTCTGAATTTCCGTAGAATGAACCGACTCAGATTTCAATGCATCATTTTCTACCTTTAGGTCAATGATTTCTGATTTCAAGGTTTGTATTTCATTCTCAAGCTCTTTTATTTGTTTTTCCTTCATCGATTGTCTTTCAGTGGTGATTTCCTCATCTTAAAAATACAATTTAATATCAAACTTTAGACTATAATATAGTTTTCGATTTATTTGAGCCTATTTGAGCCTGTTTATTGGGTCCAACAACATGTTGATTTGGGAGTATAGCGTTTTGATTGGGCTATATTATCCATTGATTGGGACCAATATTGTTCATTGGGGTCTAAAACATGTTGATGACACTTTGTAAAACAGAGTGAAATAAATCATGTCGGTTATATTGAAACTAACATATATGTACTGTATTGTGTTGAATGTGTATGTAGAATTAACAGATATTCAGATCTGGAAATATGCGTTGGTCAGGATATGGGATTTCAGACTTTCCCCAAAAGAGAGCATATATATCCAATTGATTAATATATTCAAAAATACCTGTGATACGATGAAATTTAAATGAATCAGATTCAACTGGATCAGAATCAATGAAACCACTTTGTACGACATCTTGAAGACAGCTTCGCAATTCATCTTCGTCATTTGAACCGAGAGATATGAGATGAAAAGTTACTTCAACACATCCTTTTCTGTAAATAGGTTACAATAGATATATTTTATTAATGATCAACTACCATTAATTGTTACTTAACCAAATAAGAAGTGACATCAGGCGTTCCGAGAAGTGTAAACATATCCTGTCTCGGACATTGATTTAAAGGTGACGGGAAAAAGCTTCTTGTGGAAAGGATATGTTGACATAATTACTTGCATTATTTTAAAAAAAATTGAAACTTTCCCGGTAACCTTTAATGTTTCTGATGAGAAGGATAAGATTCGACAATAACTGGTATAAATTAATACAAAACAACATAGGTTAGCTAAGACAACCCCACACAGTAGCAACGGAGTAGATGAGCAAACGTTGCTGCCAAAAGGGAGAGAGGGTGTGGTTTGTTTGACGTGGTGGAGGGGTGGAGCACAACCACGCCCACCACATCGTCAACTCGATCATCTGACACTTTGCACAAGTTTTTAACTTACTCTAATTTCTTTACAACCACAAATTGTTGTCCTGGTTTGTCCTGGTAAACCTGTTCAATATTATTTTCACATCTTTTTACAAATTCTTTATATTTAGGACTGGTGTTGTCTATTAATTCATAAAACTTTTGTCCACTGTATTTGATCTTTCCTTCATAGATACCTGAAATATAGACAAAGCGTTAAACTGTGTTCTGTATACATCCACACAAGATTGTAAGGCCTTGACACAACGGGGGAATTGACAAATAAAATAGCTACTTCGGAGAAAATTATTGATATTTTAACAGTCGAAGACAGGCCCAGAATCCGGACACATGACAATCTTTTCATCAAGCTTTAAGTGTTTAATTTGTTCGGCCACCGTACAAACATAACAGAGCGTTTTCTCACGCAGGGATAATATTTAAAAATTTTGCAAGTCACACATTTTTAGTAGCGGTTAACTGAGTCCAGAATTAGGTCCATAAAAGCCGTTGTCCGCTTCAGGAAATAAGGTCAATAATTTTCCATTCCATTTAATAGACTTTGATATTTTTATGTAGCATATCGTCATCTGAGTAATGTTTATGATTAGTACTGGTTTAAACCTTACGCGTGTAATATTCCTCAATAATTACCTGCCTTTAAATGTACAATTGAAAGAGAAATCGAAACATTCGTGAAAAGGATAGTTCATGATATCTAAAGAACGTTTTCTTTTTTATAAAATGGTATTTCAAAATTACACTGGTAGTTTAATGACTCGTAAAATGACGTAGCCCACTTCCGCATATTATCATTATTGGCCTACGTGACTCTTTACATATCATTCGCACCAAAATCAACTATTCTACTAGTTTCATAGTAAGCAATATATTTTGCATATAATGGAACATATGCCTACTTTAAATATTGTGTAATGGCAAATGGGTTCGTAAAAAAATTGTTACGCTTGGTAGAGGACTGGGCAGGCTCAGAACCAAAGTCTCATTTCGTTACTGAAGGGGTGAGTTCAACAGGTGACCCAGGCTAGCGACGAATATACCAGACATGTTTCCTCTGGTCAATTCAGAAAGATTGAATACATCACGAACGTAGGCTAAATAGCTTACAATTCTAATCAATCTCTACAACTATATTTAAATGCTTGGCGATACCCTGTTCCTTGTGTAGGCAACATGATAATACTATACATACCACAATCAGGTTCCAACTTCTGTATAATCCAGGTATAGCCACATCGTTCTAGGGCCAGCAGGAACAGAATGTAGGAATTTGGCCCTTTTCTACTTAAAATCATCAACATATTCATAACACATTTGCATCTGCCTTCTCTTTTTAATATGCGTAAAAGTGATTCATAATCATCGATGTCGTAAACAAACAGGGAATAAAGGATATTTATAAGTTCTATAGCATCTAGTTCATTTACAAGATAATACGTGTGTCTTTGTATTTTCCATCCATCAGCTTCAGTCATCAGTCCTCTTTGATGGTCAAGGGGTATAATCTCTTCTATAGTTTCTTCTCCCACCTTATCTTTTGAATATACTGTAATTGAGATTAAGAGAGATAATTATAGTTTGTTGTAATAGTAAGGAGAGAGAGAGAGAGAGAGAGAGAGAGAGCAGGCCATTTCCGGACTAGCATATAGTTCTATTATATTTCAACAATGGACCTTTAGTATTTTTTGTTTTTTTTTTTGAGGGGGGTAGAGGCCCCGGAGTAAACCCACGAGGTTCGAGGTTGAACAGGGGACTATACTCCTTGTCACGTGTAAGCGAGGCATCGAAACCACGTCATTCGACTTAACAAACAGCCCTTACGGTATACCCCAGACGTGTTAAACCGAAACCTATAGGGTAAACCCTCCGTCAAGACAAACAATATAAATAGATGTTGCAAACCATGAAATCAAGTTAACAAAACAGGGAGGCTATCTGTAAGTGCTCCATTGCTCTGTATAGTCCCAGTCCAGTAGTCATAGGGCTTCACGCAGATTGAAAACCAACTAACAATATAAGTGAAACAATTCACCAACACAAACGGTTACCTGTTTTGAAATTGGTATCATGTGAAGATTGGTTAGACGGCGCTGCTTCTTCAATTGGATTGTTATCCACAGCTGTTTTGCTATCCACTTCGTTAATTATATGACTATCCGCATCTGTTGGTATTGGGCACATCTTCGTGTTCTTATCACTTGAGATTAATTCTCTATTTAATGTGACATTATTGTTGCTATGGTCCCTGTTTACTTGGAACGATTGTTCAGCCTTACCGTCCATGCTGGAGACATTTTGACTGCTTTGATCATTGGCGTCACCATGACATCTGATATTAACCGATTCAGAATCATCATGATGAAGAGCACCAAGTTCTTCTGTTATCCGTTTAAGCTTCTCCTCCAGTATCTCCTTTTCAGACTGTAATTCCTGTTTTCTTATATTCTGTCCTTCCTCATCGTCTACTTCAAAACCAGAATCCTGATCTTTCATCGTTCTGTTGTTCTCCATCTTGGAATCTGTAAAGATTTCCTTGTTTTTGTTACCTTCTTGTTGAAGATGTTCATTGATGGAAATCATTTGATTTGGCCAAATCTGTTGATCCATTTTGTTGCCTATGCTGTAAGTATATAGATAACACACATGATAAATATGGCCACGCCCACACAGCAGCTTTGTCACAACGGCAGCTTATCGGAGACGACAACTTGGATGATAAGCAAATTTGAGGGTCGATGAAGAAATCTCATCTTGAGGAATCATCCTCATATTACCCCATTCATTCGAACAAAATTAAAAAATCTCTTTAAAAAAACCTTTAGAATGGAAGAGGCCTATGCAAGGAAATTGAGCAAATAGCAGCCACTCTTAGAGCAGTGCCAGCAAAATGGTTGGAAGGCCTGGGATTTTCCTGTGGAGGATTCGTGTCTCAAACATTTTGGAGAGCACCCCGGAACCTAGGCATGGCAGGACCAACACGCAGGACCTTAGTTACCAAAGTAGGCAAACAAGCTGAGGAAGCCTCCAACTGGTTGTTGATAATGAGAGGAGAACTGTGGAAGTGCTAACTGGTTATGGGCTGAGTCTGATCAATTCAGTTGGCTCACCCCTCGAGAGCGTTGTGGAAAGCGCCGAAACGCATGAAGACGGAGGACCCCCACCTGATGACAGAACCAGTTCCGCAGTGGAAACACTGTATTCAAGATATGCGAGCGTATTACTTTATATATATGCTCACATTTCAGCGTGGGCGTATTACAACTGAAATGTAGACATACATAAAATAATACTCAAAATAACTGCCTTCAAAAGGCAAAACCTAGTAACTCACTTTTTTTTTTATCAAAATTGAGTTAGGACCAAATTTGTAGTTACTAGGGTATGTACTTCCTGTTGTTGTACTAGATATTCCAACCTTTTGATTTTGTAAGCAGTTACACCCATGACACAACCTAGCAACTTCCTTGATTTGCCTAGTATACCACAGCAAAACCTAGTAACTCAATAGTAAAATCAATGAATGAGCTGGGGTTTAATATTCATTCATTACGTTTTCATTTTCTCAAAATAAGAAAAAAGTGAGTTACTAGGTTTTGCCTTTTGACGGGAGATAAGTACAACATATATATATTCTATACTATTGGGTCGAATCATGCTTGGGAAATTCATATTGAGCGGGTATAACACATGTTGTCGGTGATTTATATGGTCCATTACAATTCCCGTGAATATATTACATTACGATGCATTGACGAATGGGTTAGCCATCCACATTAAAGATGCATTATGCAAGAGCTACATCTGTATATTACAGGTCTTTCTTTAATCCTTGAACGTTAATTAGACTTTTATTAACCTGCCAAGATTATAATCAACTCTGGACATTTTCAATGGATTTAAACACAATTGGCAGATAATGAAAACATGGATAAATGAGACTTTATTTACTATCGTAACAACGCGTGTAGCAATGGCTTTGTTTACTATCGTAAAGGTATATAGCAATGACTATCGAAACTCCAGTATTCCCCAAACTTCTCCTAGATTGAAATAATTTGACTGCCATTTTCAAGATATACCCCTTTCATTACCTCGTTTTCAACTATTATACCAAGAACTGGCGGTTCTTTATCAAAAGCTAACATAATGTATCTTTAACTAGAATCAGACAAATGACCGTCTAAAAGTTGACGTCAGACACCAACAAATTATAACGCCCCCCCCCCCCAACTACTACTGTAAATGTATTGTAAACAAAGTGCTATAGACGTATTTCACACAATTCTAAATATAACACTGACGTCATCAATCGGGTGAGCTATTTCTAAGAAACACAAAACTGGGTCAATTCGGGGACCTGTTATGTATTATATTATACAATAAAATATATTTCATCCGTAGCATAAAATATGTTCGAATTCAGATGCCTCAAATTTAGTAGTCAAATGAGTTGGTATCAGGTACGAAGCAGTATATGCTTTAGTTCTGATAAACATTAATTTAAATTGCGAGTTGATAAGGCTGGCAGATTTTTGTTGTAATTTAACTGTGAGCAAGTGGTTGGTGGTGGGGCAATAATTGTACCATAGGTTAGGTGAAGGGATTCAATCAGGCGCGTGTCCAGAGCGTTTCCGAGGGGTCCGGATCCCCCGTTGCGGACGCAGAGCATTGTTTATTTCTCCTACTATCTTTGAAATAACACCTCCCTGGCAATTAATAGCTTTTCGTCGTAGTTTTACTACAAATGCTCTCTAATGCTAGTTCCCACTATCACGATTCGTGCTACAACTAAAATTGTGGTATTAATCGTGGAGTAATCGTGGTGATCCTATCAGGTCTTATCATTTTGTATATCATGGATACATAGATACAATCATAGTACAATAAAGTTGATATCAAGAATGCTAATCTATTAATAATGTTCCGTATTTTACAAGAAATATTAACTTACCGCTATATAGATGTATATATAATCCAGCTCGTGTCAGTCACTAATAAAATCCCATTTACACGCAAGCCTACAGTATGTCGTCATTTAAGGGCTCAAATGGGATTTTCATTACGTGCTTTTTGTTACTATAAATAGGAGTAGGTTGACGCCCTTTATTCTTTCTTTTTCGTTTTTAAACAATATTTTTATTCAAGATGTCTGCATTGGAATGTAGAACAGGCTTAATCCATGTGAAACCCCTCTCTATAACTATTATTAAATTAATACAAAAGAACAAACGGGTGTATTTACATGGTGAATATATCAAACACACACATGTATATTTAGAAAAGAAAATATGTAGAGTATATATGTTTTGTGAAAGCGAACAACAACATTGGAGAGCAGGTCATTGAAAATAAAATACTCATTTGATAGATATTAAAATCTGTGTAACAAATCAATAAACTTATGTAGACTGTGGGTTGTGGGGCATTACGGTTAATGTCTAGATGATATGACTATGTACACTAGATTCATTTTAAATCAAATACGGATTAATGGTTTCATCTTACGTCTATATAATACGCACTATAAACCATTTTTGCAATAAAATGTCAATAATTAAAAACTATCGTCACTTCCATGTTACCGATCATAAGATTTATAATATGATCAATACATCAATAATGATTATGTCAATCATCAGGGTGAAAAGCATCATGGTGATGATGAGAATGGCAACAAAAGAATTGTTTGTTATTGCAGAATGGTTCCTTCAACGTTCTACTTTTGCAATATCAACCATTTTTGCAATAAGTTAATTTTCTTGCTAAAATAGTTGGTATTGTAAAATAGTCGCTACAAAGCGTGTTGTGTTAACATATGTGGCTCAACTGTAGAGGGAGAGGGACGGTTAACGCCTGCACGTTACATCAGTAGGTCTGTAATTGAGTCGACTTGGGTGGTTTCAAATCCCCATTTGTAGGTGACAAGGTAAAGAGTCACATGTCCAACCTTGTGGGTTTCTTCCGGACCCATTTATCTAATTGCAAGCCGAGTTTGAGCCACCAGTTAATAAATACTGGATAAATGAGCCTTTGGTGATACATTTGTATTATGGCTTAATATATATATAAAATGTGGATTTGGCTCATGTAGGTTGAAATCTCAGAGAACGCCATAAGTATAGCAGAATCGAAGACGGAATGTTTTATCCGACATTCGACACTTGTAAGAAGAATAGGGTGTGATGGAGTACCTTTTCACATAGACGAACTTGAAAAATACATGTATATTATTTATTGTAAATATATATCATAATATAATGTACAGTAAATATCTATTACTATTGGATGACCCGGCGCTGCATGGGTTGAAAGTAGTATAACTCAGAAACCGATGGGCCAACCCCACCTAGCCAATGTTACTCCCAGTTCGGAGCTACCCCCCCCCACCCCTACCCCTCCCCCTCCCCCTCCTATACACCAAATGTCAGCCTCAGGTCAGACCAACCTTGAACAAACAAACAAACGACATTCACAAATATTAGTATAGATAATATAATGTATATCAAATAACATATACATCGTCTCGTGCAGTGACCCCAATTGTCATACATATCTAAGACACACCTCTTACAATCCAGTGTATGATTGTGTTTATAGCTTTGTAGACACCGAACATTATTTATTACACTGAACCCGTACATCCAGATGCACGTAAAGGATCCGTAGCTCTCTTTTCTCCAATTTTTATTTCATCACACATTTTTCGATATCGCCAAAAGACTATAAAGATGCATTATGTAAGAGCTAAATCTGCCTATTGCAGACCATTCTTTTATTCTCTAGACAATCGAATGTTTGTGAATTAGAAGAAATTGAAACAGGATTAATTTTACAATTATCAAGGGTTCATTCACGCGTACACGTGTACTTTGCGACCCACCATACGCCCGTCAAAAGTCAAAACCTAGTAACTCATTTTTATCCCGCGCCGAACGAAGTTAGGGAGGGATGTTGAAATGGGGTCCGTCCGTCCGTCCGATTTCATTTCCGGAGCATATCTCATAAACCGTTCAAGATATCCTTCTAAAACTTTGCACACACATCAACCTATTACAGTAGTTGTGCCTTTTGCTATTTAGGAATTTCTGGGATTTATATTTTTTGTGTTTCCATGGAAACAAATTCGACTTAGTTTTTGGTGTATAATTTTGTTTCCGGAGCATACTCAATACAGTAGTTGTGCCTTTTGCTATTTAGGAATTTCTGGGATTGATATTTTGTGTGTTTCCATGGAAACAAATTTGACTTAGTTTTTGGTGTACAATTTTGTTTCCGGAACATATCTCATAAACCATTCAAGATATATTTCTGAAACTTTGTACACACATCAACCTATTACAGTATTTGGGAATTTCTGGGATTTATATTTTTTGTGTTTCCATGGAAACAAATTTGACTTAGTTTTTAGTGTATAATTTTGTTTCTGGAGCATATCTCATAAACCATTCAAGATTTGTTTTTTGAAACTTTGTACACACATCAACCTATTACAGTAGTCGTGTCTTTTGCTATTTAGGAATTTCTGGAATTGATATTTTGTGTGTTTCCATGGAAACAAATTTGACTTAGTTTTTGGTGTAGAATTTTGTTTCCGTAGCATATTTCATAAATCGTTCAAGTTATCTTCTTGGCACTTATTTTGAATTTCTCAGATTTGATAATTTTATATGTTTCCATGGAAACACATCTGACCTTCAAGATACCTTTAAAATAATTTTACCCATTATTATATTTTCTGAAATCCAGCCTTCCATCCTGATTTTGTTTCTGGAGCATATTTTATTATCTGTTCAAGAAATCTTTTTGAAACTTTGTACAAACATTAACCTATTATATTTTATTTTCTGATGTATACGTTTATTGTTTAACATGCAGCAGCTGATTGAGGTAGGCAAAGGTTGTTGTGTAAACCTTACAGGGAGTAGCGACCCTGCCTTGCCGAGCTACTGTGATCACAGTATGAAATTCTGTGAATTGATATTCCATGTGTCGGAATATGAGATTTGTCTAAAGATTTAGACTCTGGGCGCAACTGATGGTACAACCCCGACATGCTGAACTACTGTGCTCAGAATATTTATATTCTTACTAGTTGAAACTTTGAACACACATCATCCTAATTACAGTAGTTGTGCCTTTTGCTAATTAGAAATTTTTGCGTTGCCATGGAAAAAATTCTCTGTTGAATGATTTTTACTACACATTTGAATTATTTTTTGGTATATAATTATTATTCTAGAGCATATCTCAGAAACTGTTCAAGATACCTTTAAAACACTTTCATATTCATCAACCTATTATGTTATTTTTTGATGACCTTCCTTCTGTCCCGATTTCATCTGTCGAGCATATTTCATTATCTGTTCAGGGAAATCTTTTTAAAACTTTATACAAACATCAAACTATTAAAGTATTTTATTTTCTGATGTATAAGCTTAATGTTTAACACACAGCAGCTGATTGAGGAGGCAAAGTTTGTTGTGCAATCCTTACATGGAGTAGCGACTGTGCCTTGCCGAGCTACTATGATCAGAGTATGAATCTTCTGACTAGTCCCATTGATATTCCTTATGCCTTCCAAACAAGTTCAAGGGCGCGGGATGGTGATGACTAGTCATCTTGTTTTTATTAAAATTGAGTTGGGACCAAATTTGTAGTTACTGGGGTATGTGATTCCTGTAATTGTACCAGATATTGCAATCTTTTGATTTGTTAAGCAGTTACACCCACGACACAACCTAGCAACTTCCTTCATTTGCCTAGTATACCACAGAAAAGCCTAGTAACTCCATAGTCAAATGAATGGATAAGCCGGGGTTTAATATTCATTCATTACGTTTTCCTTTGTTTTCTCAAAATAAGAAAAACGTGAGTTACTAGGTGTTGCCTTTTGACGGGAGCATAATGAATACACGTTGTTCCTTTCCCTATGTCAAGTACCAACCCGCAAATTCCGGAGGTACTTTCTTGGTCAACACTCTCGAGATCAGAGTGTAATACTATAGAGTTTATTTCAGTTACATGATGTGAGACGAACACTAGGGTAATGAAGTAGCTTGCATTATTCTACTACTTTCTTAGACTAACCCACCGACAGTTATGTCAGTATCCTTTGCTGGAAGTAGGGTACTATAGTCCAGTCATCTCGTGCACGGATTAGTACAATTAACTAGAATAATGTTGACGCTAAACGGTGCCCATATGAAATACTTACCCAAAAATTGTAATTGTCCCGCAATGATAGCTGACGCATTTCCTTTCTATATAAGAAAGAGCGAGTTTTATTTCACTTCAGACATTATGATGAGACCGTAGAGAAGACATCATTCGGAGTTTAGGGGAACGTCATACCCACAGCTAGGGATAAAAACAAAATGTGATGTTTAGGCCGTTCGATTTTAGTTATTAAATATATTAACCTCAGACCGTGATGTTTAAGCCGTTCGGTTTTAGTTGGGGATCACGTGGCTAAGTGGGTAAGACGCTGGCTCGCTAGCCTGGAGGTCGGGTGTTCGATCCCTGCATTGCCCGAGAAAGTTCATCGAGATTTTCCGGCGTGGTTCCCCCTTGTCAGTGATGCAGGACGGAGGGCCTGCCTAGGACAGCTGTCTAGTCCTTCGGATGAGACGAAAAACCGAGGTCCCGTGAATACATTGGAATGCACGTAAAAGATCCCTTTTCAGTTGGAATTCGATATAAGAGTAGGCGATAGTGCCGCTGCCCGGGCAAAATTTCCCTCATAGAACACTGTATGGCGTATGCCCGTCTTCATTAGCCCAACATAGGAGCAGAACAGTAGGACGTTAAACCCCATATCGAATTCCAACTGCCAAGGGATCTTTTACGTGCATGCCAATGTGTACACGGGACCTCGGTTTTTCGTCCCATCCGAACGACTAGACAGCTATCCTTGGCCTGTCAAAGAAACACTTCGACAAGTTAAAGATAAATTGTAAGTAAAACTTGTGGAGTAGGAGCAAAGGGTTGAAGAAAGAAATCGGGGGGAGGGGAGAGAGGACATTGATAAAACGGTCTGAAACTGTAATGCTGAAAGTAGTTCAGATTCAC